AAAATATCAGATACATTTTGTAGATATTATGGTAATTTCAATGGTTAAGATCATCAGTCAGTTGAAGCTAGATCGCCGTGGAAAACCTGGAAGCACCAGACGGCCGTTTCATCCTATTGCCGGACTCCTCAGCTGTGCGCATCCACGACCATTGAAATTACTATAATATCCACAAAACCCATCTGATATTAATCAACATATGCTCACTAGTGACTGGCTTCAAGAGGTATATCCTGGAGTCCTAGTGAGAAGTAGTGAGCAGTAGAGTTCAACTGAGTCCGTTGTTAGATAGTAACTCACAAAAGACACTGCTGAACGTGTCGCTCAATTTCGTGGATGAGTTGAAATTAGATATTAACACCATTGGATGCCTGATCAGTGGTCCAGTGGGTTAGGCGTTCGCACGCAAGACTGAAGGCCCTGAATTCGAATCAAGCGAGCGGGCCTGTGGATGAGCATTTCTGAGGAGTCCCACAATAGGACGAAATGGCCGTCCAGTGCTTTCAGGTTATCAATGGTGGTCTAACTTCAGTCGGTTCATGATCTCAATTAAAAACTCAATAATCTCCACAACCCCTATACTGACAGACTCAAAGAAATCGATCCACTCACCTTGATTATGGTTACTTACTTATGTCTGGTACTCCCAGTGGAGTATAGACCACCGGCCAGCATTCTCCAACCCACTCTGTCCTTGTTGATGATGATTAAAATTATAAAAATTGTAAATAAGAAGTATCAAACTTCAGTAAAGAAAATCGTACATAGAGAAGGTTTTCATGATTCATCTGTTAGAGATCCAGTTTCATGTTCAGTAGCGTTATATTCAGTCACTTAGTCTACTAAGGTCCTAACACCCCTTCTTATTTTGTTAGTGGTTATTTAATACATGTTTATTGTCTCTTATAATATTAAAAAATACACTTATCTTTCATATCTCCATTCTATACTCTATTTCGACAAATGTTCGTACATATTTATCTTCTTTATAATCATTAAATAGAAAATACTCTTATCTTATTGTTATATCTTATTTCATACTGATTACTCCCTAACGATTACGTAACTCTCAGTTCTGTTTGACCTTTAGCACCTCTGTTAATGAGTCAATAGTTCTCTATTTGTATTATCGACCACTCTATGTTAAAAGATAACTATAAATACGATTGTATAGCACAATTGATTGATCACTGGGTGGTGATCAGTGTCATATCTGTCGGGTCCTTCTTAGTGCAGACCGACTACTATCAACCTAGTCACTAAACTGGTAGCCATATCACAACTTGGTCGATAGCATTCGACCTACACTATGAAGGATCTGATAAACATGACATTGATCACCATCCAGTGACCAATCAATTGTGAATACATCTCAGTCCTACAGAAGGTCGGTCGCGGCCCTGATAGCCCAGTGTGAACATCTCTGATTGTGAACCTGGGTGACATGGAATCGAGTCCGTCATGGAAAGTCAGTTCCCTCAGGAATAAACGGCCAGGGTTTCTTGTTGACTACTTTCAACCATCATCTCATCTCAACGATTGTATAACTCTCGTTAATGATAACTTCGAAAAGAAGATTATCTGTACTGGAATATTTCTATTTTGTTTAATGATTCAAAATGATTCGATATCACAAGCACTTTGCTTCTATGTTAGACGGTTGAGGGTAGTTTTTAGGAAATCCTGCTGAATCTAAGCTTCATACAAAGTTTTGTCGACATTCTCAGGGCAATTGCAAATTTCCGTAGAATTTGAATGCATATCACTAGTGGTTTATTTTAGTATAGGTTACCTCATCTGTGTGACATCGTGGATTGCTTAAAGTTTGACAGTGACACCGGTTCATCTGTCTAGATATTAAGTGTTCATAGATGAGACCTAGGGTGCTGGGTTCAAATCCCACCCACGTACAGAATCGTGGTCTAACATTGATTAGTTCATGATTTCATAGAGACTTGTGTTTATTTGTTTTAAAATTAAAAAAAAATATTTGATTACAACTCAAAATTAACCAATTTTTCGCAAAGGTTACCGATTGCATAATAGGTCATAGAACAAAATAAGAGTACGTATAGAGTAATAGGATCTTTGACTTTTTTGTTATGAGTATAATGTATGAGCTGCCTGATCCTACCTTGTAGCTGGCTGATTGATTAACTGACTGAAGCTCTATATATAACAATTTTAAATTACACTTCAATCAATAACAATAATCCATTTGGTATTGTTGCTTACCTGAATCTTCCTATTGATTTGTTGGACTGCAATTGATTAATCTCTTATTAAAATATGTACGTACTGATTGAAATCATACTAGGATGAAACGGCCGTCTAGTGCTTACAGGTTTTCCATGGTTGTCTAGCTTCAATTGACTCATGGTTTCAATCAGTGAAATTTCTTAAATCTACATAAAACCCCTTCTAATAATACGTACATACTGTTTATACTGCCTTAATTTCGCCTTAACTCACAAGCATTATACGTAAAGATGGATAGTGGTTAGTAGTAAAATCTAGGAAGTGCATTTCGCCTTATTTAGGACTCGTCAGTTGGATATACCTTCATTCCAGACTTATTGATGTTCACTCTAAGACTTGAACTCTGTACCCTTCACTTCAAACGTCATCACGTTATCCACTTAACTACTGAGTCCTCACAGCCACTTGTTTGTGCAATGGAGTGAAGTTGAAATTCACTTATCATTGTTCACTTGAATCTTCCCATTGATATTTGGCATTGCAATTGATCAGTCGCTTATTGACATATGTGTATACTGTGCGTATTGCCTCATGATCACAATAATTCACAAGCATTCTAAGCAAACATAGATAGTGGTTAACAGTGGAATGCAGGAGGCGCGTTTCCACCTATTTGGCACTGGTCAACTGCATGGGCCTGCATCTCACAGTTGATGTTCACTCTAAAACTTGAACCTTGTACCCTTCACTTCAAATATCATCGCATTATCCACTTAACTACTGAGTTCTGATAGCCACTTGCTTGCAATAATAATAATAACTTGATAAATATAAGTACTTATTTCTAATGAGGTCATATTATAATCAAATGAAAAACAACAATCTTCTATCATCCAAAATGAAAATAACACGAATAATCTGATATACATACAAATTGATCTATTCTTCTTCTTCTTCTTCTTCTTCTTCTTCTCCTCCTCCTCTTCTTCTTCTTCTTCTTCTTCTTCTTCTTCCTCCTATTCTTCTTCGTCTTCTTTATTATAAGTCAATATGGGGATGTACACATTTATCTTATCTTATTATTTTTCATTATGAACTTTATAAAGTACATTTTGTATTTGGTATTTTATTATTACTTTTTATTTATTTAATTAATTCATTTATAATGTAAATAATCAAAAAAAAGAATAAGTGAAATTACTATTTACCAACTAAAAGAATTAGTTGAATAAGTGTTTACGTGTGCGAGACTGAAAGCTTTGGGTTCGAATCCCGTGAATGGGATCATGGATGTGTACTACTGAGGAGTTTCACAATAGGACGAAACGGCTGTCCAATACTTTGAAGTTTCCAACAATGATCTAACATTAATCCGTTCATGATCTCAATAAAAAACCCTATGCTGATATTGCATAATAGTTCATTTCATTCTATTACCAATGAATATAAAATATAACTAAACTGAAACAAGTGGGTTTTTTTAGAGGGCCACATATCAAGTCCCATAGTAACCGATGACTAACGATTCGTTCATACGCCATTTGTTCCTTCAGGATAATGGAGGTCATGTATACCATTGTTTTGGAATGACGGTTATCCAACCCACCTAGGTAGAATTTCTGTGTCCACCAACCTGGTTAAAGCGCCAGACATTCGTTTTTCGTCCTGTTAAGTTCGTAAACAACATCCGTTGTGCGAGAAGGTAGCGTGCAGGACTTCCTTGTCACTGGTTGTATCCATGTGTCCATGTGAGAACATTTCGTGAGGGGGGGGTTATTCGCTCCATTCTCGGCCGTACCAGGGCATTTGGGGGCAGTATTTGATCATAGGTGTCTTCAGTGTTGCTTTCATATTTCAGGACTACTGAGTAGACAATTCCTGGGTTAGAAATAGGGCAACAGGTAAAAAAATTGGCAAGTCAACTGATGAGGTGGTAAATTTTCATCAGTGGAATGGTTGGGATATGTGTTACGTATGGCTATGCACTGGCTACTTCGACGAGGGATGTTATATGGTGTAGTAGTAGGTTGAAAAAAGCTAGTGGTATTCAAATCAAGATATATCATCAGTCCACGATGTCACAAATAATTGGACTGAGCCATAGTATCTAGTTGGGGTCCATTTGGTTATCTTAACTAGTGGTTAGATACTTAGAATGACATGGTTCAAAATCTTTCACAATGACTCAGGTCCATTCACTCTTTATCTTTATTTAGATCCTGTATTTTCTAACCCTTTTTATAATTATTTTGTATTTTGACTTTATGAAATCATATTTTTGATGCCTAATGTTTTATTGTTACTTACACTGTTACTATCTCTATAGTGTACAAATAAACCAAGCTTGTTGTAGACTGTCTTCCATAGCGTCTCTTTTTGTCAAAAAAGTATTCTAAACTCGTTTTGATTTTAGCTTTTTAAGACTTTTGTCTTCCACTGTCGACTTCAACAACACCCACACGACGCTTCACCATCACACCTCTACTATTCTCAGATTTGCTCTGACGATTTTACCTAGATGTGCTAATAGCGTATGAGAATCTTAACTAATATACACATAACTCAAGTTCTACCAAGTTCTTATAACTGACTGACTGAAACAACATGTTGTTTTGATATTTTTTGTCTGTTAATATACTTTAGCTTTGTCATCGTTAAACTAACTAACTAACTAACTAAGTAACTAAGTAACTAAGCAACTAGCTAACTGACTAAGTAACTAAGTAATTAACTAACTGTTTCAATCGTTACTATCAATATTTTCAAATGATTTCACTTGAGGTTTTGTTTTTCATTTATAGGTATCATCAAGAGATAAACGATTTTTCTCTAGACAATCAAGTAATACTAGTAAATCATCATTTATATCTGGTACATCGATTTCATCAATTAATTCACCAAGTCAAAGAAAATTAACTACAACAACTATTAATTTTCCAATACCATTATTACGTGTACTTGAAAGTAGTAATCAAGATATTCGAATTAATTTTGACGACGACAACAATACTACTACTAATACTACTACTACTACTACTACTAATAGTAATAATAATACATCTGAGGTGTATAGTACATTAATCAATAAACCTTTAAATGATCACTTAGAAACTAAACAATCAATACCAAATTTAAAAAATCAAAAACAAAATACACTTTTAGTTCCTTTTATTGATTTAAATGAGAATAGTTTTCAATATTCATCGATTAAAAATTTATCGAATAGTCCTTCTCCTCCCTCTCTTCCTCCTCCTCCTCCTCCTCCTCCTCCTCGTCCTCCTCCTCCTCCTCCTCCTCCTACTACTACTACTACTACTACCATGACAACTAATTCATCATTATATCATAGAAATAATAGTAGTATTGATAATAATCAAAAATATTTATTTAATGAACGAAGAAATAGTATTTCAATTATTCAACCACTGATATCCTATAATGAATTCTATGAGAATAATTCTAATATAACATTAACATCTAAAAAATTATTGACTACTACTAATACTACTAATAATACTACTCATAATAATTGTCAACTGACAACATCAACAGGAACTTCACCATCATCATCATCTTCATCATCCACAACAACAACATCACCATCATCATCCTATCGATTCAATGAATCAAATATTAAATTATCTACAATGTATACAATACAAAAACGTCGTAAAAGTAGTAATGATATATTGAATTTATTATTTCAATCACGTACAACAGATTTAATGCATACAAAATCTACTACTGATGAATCTATATTAATACAAGTATTAAGACGACAACATAAACGTACATTACGTATATTAATTATATTATTATTATTATTTATTATATGTCGTGGACCAAGATCATTTATATTAATTATACAATGGTTACAATATTATACTTATTATAAAAATCAATATCAATCTTATTTATATACATGGTTACAATATACAAGTATATTTTCTTATTCTAGTGCAATATTAGATACAATTCTATATGGTTTTTGGGGTAATCGTATTTATCGATTATATATTAAACATTTATATACACATTGTGCCTTATATAAATGTTGTATTAATCAATAAAAATTGATTATTTACTCATTAAGGAAATGATTATATATTGATCTTTTCTATTGTTTATTCTCTTTTATAAGAAAAAAAATAAAAAGAATTCATAAAGATGTTTGAATAGGCCGCTTACCAGAACTTGCCATTCAATCCTGTCTTGATTGATTACATAACGCCTGTTTGTTTTTTTTCTCGTGAAGGAGCATAGACCTTTTAACAGTATTCTTCATCTAAACCTATTCTGAGAAATTTTTTCTAGCTCTTTCCAATTGTTATTCATCCTTTTCAGATCTGATTCTATTTCTCAATGTAATGTGTTCTTTGACCTTCTTTTTTTCCTCTTTCATTCAGGATTCCAAATTAGCGCTTGTATCGTGATGTAGTTTGGTGATTTGTGTAATGTATGTCTTATCTATTTCCATCTTCTTTTCCGAATTTCCTCTTCAACTGGAAGCCGGTTTGTTCTCTCCCACAGTAGGCTGTTGCTGATGGTATCCGGCCAATGAATGTTGAGTGTCTTGCGTAGAAAACTATTTATGAGTACTTCCACCTTCTTGATGATGGCTGTAGTAGTTCCTCAAGTTTTAGCTCCGTATATTAGAACTGTTTTGACGTTGGTATTGAAGATTGTGACTTTGATATTGGTTGACAGACAGTTGTTTTGAGTTCCATATGTTGTTCAATTGTAGGAATGCAACCCTTGCTTTACCAATCCTATTCAAGATGGTTAGAAACTTTAAATAATATGAAGCAAAATCATTTACAATTGCATAGATCTATTCAATCTTTATGTTCTCCTAAATTCTTGTTTCTAAATTTATTTCATTAGATTATACTCTTTGAATAATATCTTCACACTTTAATCTTTCCAATGACTGTTTATACTTTTACTATTTCTATCATTATTGGATTTGAATTGACAATTGTATCTCTGTATTAATATGGTATGACAACTCAAACCGATGTACGTACATACAAAGTTCTACATTGTTACTAACTGATTAATTGATTCATAAATATATATAAACATCTATCATTATCTATTATCAACTAATTCATTCTTTATAAGATCTTCTTTGTCTCCTTCGTCAACCCCACCCTCTCCCTCTTTCACACACACACACACACATAAACACACGTTTGTAACTATTCATTGTACTACGAAATTTTACAGTATAGTACAATTTCTAAAGTTACATATATCATTCTTATTATTACTATTACTGTTATTACAAGCCAGAGAATAGACACTTAGGTCTATATTGTTGAATATAAATGAAAAGGTCATGTCGTTTTTTCCTTTTTGTCACTTTTCTCTCTTTTGTTTTTCTTTTTTTTCTTTTTCACGTTTCTTTATTAAAGTCAAAATACATTGATTAGTTGATTGATTGATAATGTTTTATTTACTGTTCTGTTTATGCTGATGTTCAACTTGTTACGAAAAGAAAAGAAAAGAAAGGAAGAAAGAAAAAAAGGAAGGAAGGGAACTGAATAAAAGTGTAATATGAAAATTGAAAGTTATGCGGTTAATTTAAACATTTGCGCCCCCTTCCCCCCAAAAAAACTAAGAATTTATATAATTATGTATATTTTTGTGATGATACTGATCATTTATTTCTTTTTGTGACACATGGTAACTAAGTGTCAATACTGATACTCATTGATACTCTTTACGAGTTTATTGTGCAGTACATTGTTCCGTCCTAGTTTATGGCAGTGAAACATGGCCAGTAAGAGTAGAGGATATTCATCGGTTACTAGTATTCAGTCATAGGTGTCTTCGAAGCTATGCTCGTATATTCTGGGACTACCAAGTAAGTAATGCAGTTGTTAGGAAACGGGTACTAGGTAGGATAGTAAATCAATCGACGAAGTAAAGAACCATCATCAGTTGACATGGCTGGGATATGTGTTACGTATGCCCAAACGCCGACATTTCCGAACCGTAATGTTTTATGCTGTAGGAGTAAGTTGGAAGAAAGCTAGGGGCGGTCAATAAAAACATGGCATAAATCCATGAAGTCACTGACAAGTAAACTGAAACATGTTGGTAAGTGCAAACTACCTAGTTGAGTCCGCGAGGTGATAGCAACTGATGGTTAGAGACCTTGAATGACATGGCTCAAAATGGTGCAGGTGCATCCACTCCTTGTGTCCTCCCAAATTCTAATCTTGAAACTCTTCATGTCCCTTTCTTTTTGCCTCTTTCTAATTTATTCCACTGGATTATACCCGTTGAATAACATCTTCAAACTCTAATTTTCTGATTACTGTTTGTACTCTTACTATCTCTACCACTATGGGATTTGAATCGATATTTGTAACTCTGTGCTAATGTGATATGACAGGTCGAACGTACGAAGTTCCATGTTGTTACTGACTGACTGACGAGTGCAATCGGATATCGAGTGAGAAAGAATGCTTATTGACCAACCGAATGAAAAAAACATATATCTATATATAATCAAGCCATCACTAAAGTATGTGCCATTCATTAGATATACATACCATTTCCTGGTCAGTCATGCGCATTTGTTATTTGCCAGATCCAATGTATCATTTTCTTTATTACCCATCATTATGTACATATGTAAAGTATATTGGGTAAGTTAGTTAGATTGATAAAAATACTCACAACCAGGATTGTTATTCATATCGTTGAAATTAAATACAGAAACTTTGGTAAAATTTAGTTAAACAGACAAATTATTAAAAACCGAGGTCATTCTAAAGTTTAGTGGTTAAACATAATAAAATTTTAATCATCGGATTCCAATCAGTTCGGGTGTGAGATAGTTGGTTGCGCAATATTGTGAATCGATTTAATTTAAACATATACAACGTTGGATCTCAGCTAAGTAGTATAGTGTGAAGTGGTTGTGATTACGAAGATCCTAAGTTCGAAATCATATAGTTGGATGATGGATCAGTATTGCTGAGATATCTTATGCTAATACAAAGCTGAAAACTCTGAGTTCGGGTTCCGCGAGCGGGATCATGGATGCCCACTGCTGAGGAGTCCCACAATAGGACGAGACGGCCGTCCAATAATTCCAAGTTTTCCATGGTTGCCTAGCTTCGATTGGCTCATGAATTCAACTATTAAAATTGCTGCAATCTCCACATATACCTTATATTGTGTTAGCAGAAATATGACCATTCTATTTGAAAGTTTTTTATCATATGCAAATAGACTCAATTTTTAAAAGTAGCTTGTTGGGGAAGTTAGATCCACACGTACGAAGTGGGATGTCCTGTGTTTGCCTGTGACTACAGACCAACCTATGGTCTATGGACGGAAGAGCGAGTGGTCAGAAGAGTTGGACAAGGCATGTACGAAGTTGAGGTATGCAGCAACAGGTGGCAACGCCATCGGAATCAGTTGCGCAAACGGCTAGCACCAGACCACTCATCAACCGAAGCAAATATTCCCCTTGACATCCTGCTAGACACATTCAATCTACTGGCATCTCCACCACAAGAAAAACCTCAACAACAAGATGAAACACGTTGCAGACGGTGACCTTTCCGACAGCGGCGAGCAACAATCAAGATGCAGGTCGACCCCAGGAACTCACGCCATTAAAAAGGAGAGGAGTGTTGGGGACTTTAGATCCCAAAACTCATATTTTGTAATTTTATCTTTGTGGAGCTTGTATGCAGATGTATGCTAGGGCATTTCTTACCATCCACGCACATAGTCGATTGACGAACTTATTGATTAAATGTTTAAAAACTTCCATGGCAATATCGATTATATGTATTTTGTATAAATACGCTTGATGGACCTGGTATCTTCTGGTTGTCTGTAGAATACACTTTCTAAATCTTACCAAGACTTCTGGATCGAGTTAGCTGAGTCGGAGAAAATGGATCAGTATAGCCTATCGAGTCTCTGAATCCTTGATTCTTCGTTCCGTTCTGAGTAAGACGAACCAGTAGTAGCATTCAAGTTAACGAACATAATATAGCCGATCAAAAGTTTTGAATTCATTTATTCTACTTATCAAATTAATTAAGTGGACAACATGTCAGTAGTGCATTCATCAGTAATATTCGATATAAAATGAACAATAATTATGAAGAACAAGCATGTAATATAAGAATGTCTTAAGTTTACTAGTTCAAAACTTATTTGAGTAGTACATTCATCAGAAGGGGTTTTGTGGATAGTGTAGTAAGTTTAATGGTTGAGATCATGATTTAATTGAAGCTAGACAACGTGGAAGCATTAGATGGCTGTTTCGTTTTATTGCGGGATTCCTCCTTGGCAATGCACTTCCACAATCCCGCCTCTCGAGATTCGAACCTAGGATCTATCAGTATTGCGTGAGAACGTTTAATCTCTAGATCACTGAACCGGCATTCAACGGTGTTAATGTCTAACTTCAACTAATCCATTTATAACATGTATATTGCAGCAATCCAATGCATCAGTCGGAAACCTTTAATTCTTCTTAAATGAACAGCCTGTTGATTTATGAACGATGTAATTAAGATGATTTCCTGTGCCAGATCGAATGAATGATAATTATCTACAACTAAAGAAAGTAAAATGGAAATAGAGAGTATGGAACAACAAAGCAATACTTACTAAAATATGTCAATCAGCTCTACCATAATGCATATATCATATGACTCTGTGATATACTGTTTATGTCAGATATTATTCAGATTACTTAAGGTTGCCAGAGACGGTGTTAATGTAAAGTATCAGCAGGTAGGTGATTTACTTAGGGAATTCACTGCTAAGAATAGTTAAACATTTAAAGTTCCCATAATACTACTTGTGGAATAAGATACACTTACAGGTGGTTAGAATATTTAATGCATTTTCAGAGGAGTAATGATTGGATTTAGCTTGAGTCACCTTTCTATGAAGGGTCTAGCCCAAGTTCATTACATCTAGAATTATAATTCATGATACAATCAGTTCCAAGAATCCAAAGTGTAAATCGTCTCTGTATACTGACTCCAACCTTAATTTATTCTTTGTCCACACACAACTAAGGATAAATGTGCCGTATTCTAGGAGTGGTCAAACACAAACTTTATACATCAAAATATGTGACTTGTTGTTATAAAGGTTTCGAGTTATGCAATCTATAAGATGTTAAGACTTGGAGATTTGTTTCAATACCATTCTGTAGACGACAAGTCGTAGGAGTACCTAAGTCCTAAGTTTACTATTGTATGTAACCTAGATAACAATTCTCCATTTATGATAAGATCTAAGTTGAGTGATGTGTCGCCGAAGCATATCCATCTACAACTAGCTGTGTTAAGCTCCAGCTGCCATATTTAGCATCACTACACTACTTTGTTAAGCTCCATACTGATGCAATTTTGCATATTGTTCAGTCCATGAGGAGAAAATGAATACATTAATTTAATATTTAGAAGTACTGTATAGTTTGAAAAACACCATTTCGAACTATTTTAATAAATAGTACCCCAGTGTGCGAGAAGGAAGAAATGACCTTAATATTGCAGTTCCAATTTGATGTATTTTTAGCGACGCAAATTTTAAGAAAGTGGGATGATCACTTCAAGCACAACCTTTCTTGTTCATCTGAACATGAGACCAGCAGTATTCCAAGAGTGGTTTCAAAAGTATTTGAATAACTTTCAACTACCACAATAGGAGGAAACGGCCGTCCAGTACTTCCAGGTTTTCAATGGTGGTCTAACACCAATCGATTCATGATCTCCATCAAGAATGATGAACAGTTGTACCGGTGAAAACACATTGATCTTTTAGTCTCGATTTTTCGAGAATCTTCTCGGAGAAATCAACGGACATCTAGATTATACTCATTTATTAACGATTCTCCAGTACATACATATAAACTGTTTAGTGAAGTTAGAGATAAGATGATATGAGCATTTGTGCACTTTTGATTGTTTCAGTGAACAGTTTTTTTATTCAGATCATGAAATGATTGATGTTAGACCATCATTGAAAACCTGGAAGCACTTGACGGCCGTTTCTTCCTATTTAGAGACTTCTGCTTGACAGTATGCATCCACGATCCCGCTCGTGGGATTAGAACTCAGAGCCTTCAGTCTTGCGCACGAACGCTTAACCTACTGGACCACTGAGCCGGCATTTAATGGTGTTAATGTCTAACTTCAATCAATCCACGAAGTTGCGTGACCATCTTCCATTGTACTGAGGTAGACACCTGTTTCTACCCGACACTGATTAGCTCCACTGGTCACGGCTTCTCACTAGGACTCCGAGAATTCTCTCATGAAGCTAGTCACGAGTGAACACATGATAATTATCAGTTTGAGGGGTTGTGGAGATTGTTAAGTTTTTTTGATTGATAATAGTTTATTTGTTATAGTGAAGCTAATTCGATTAATGGATAAGTTCTTTTCAATGGAACCCTTAATCTAAGATCCGTTTTAGTAGCTATTTCAACACTTTACAAGCTAACTTGTATCAGCTTTTGTTTGACCAGAATACACCTCATCCCTTTCAATCACTTCTTCTTATATGTACAAATGAATTTTTGATGACTGCATGACAGCGCACACATGAAACTAAA